GCTCTGGCAATGCAGCTCAGTCTGAAAGCCAGCTCTGTCCTTACCACAGGCCTGCCCAGTGCTGCTCCTTCCTTCTGGGCATGCTCAACCCCTGCTTTGCCTCGAGGCTTCACCCCCACTCAGCCCTTCCCCCAGAGCCCCTCCTCTCTGTCCTCCCCCAAGCTCCTCTCTCCCCATCAGCTGATGGGTGGTGGGTGCTGAGCTCCGACTGTTTTTCTGCGGGTGCTCCAGGGCTGCACTTTGCCGTGCGGGGGCATATGCCCAAATGGGAGGGGAGCCCTTCACGGGAGTCCTCCAAAGCACCGAACTGCTGGGCTCTTTGTTTATAGACGCTGCTGGGTGATATTGCAAGAAAGGAGCAGGAGGTACAGAAGGTCTCGGCTGATGCCCAGCAGTACCAGCAGGCGGTGAAGGTAAGGAGCGGGATTCTCTCGCGAGAGGTGAGAGACTAAGGGACCAGGCTGACCTGCACACCGCAGGCCACAGACCCTCACTCACCCGTGCATGAAAGGGATCCCTTGCCTCAATTCGTGGGTTAAAGACTTCAAAGTTCCACGACCTCTAACCATGCAAGTGCTCCTGTCCCATGCTGCAGAGGAAGGTGACCCCACCCGAATCTCTGCCAGGGGGAAATTCCTTCTTGACCCCGGAGAGAGGATAGGCTGCAATGGCTGCAAAAGGAAACCAATGTGGCCTGGGGAGAGAGCTAAAGGATGGAAGAGGCAAGGACAGCTTAGTCCCATCCCTGCTCTCATAGCAACTCCCTCCACGGCCTTTGTCTAGTCAGTACACGCGTGCCTCAGTTTCTCTATATGTGAAGGGGTCAATTCTCCCTTCTTGAAGACAAGAGACTTTAAAGCACTTAATATGAAAGTCATGATGCAGCCATGGAGAGCATTAGCAGGGTGGATACAACAGGCAATGAGACAGAAAGGTCTCGCTGCTGTTGCTGTAGATCCCACAATCCTAAATTAGCAGGTGAAAGGCTGGGTCCATGCACAAGCTGGGGGGGGGGTGGTCAGGAGGACACATCCTCACCTCTCTAACATCACCCCCCTACTGCAGGACTATGAACTGGAAGCAGAGAAGCTACGCTCTATTCTCGACCTGGAAAACGGACGGAACGGCTACACGAGCAAGAGGCCCAGACTCCAGTCTCCAGCAGCTAAAGTGAAAGAAGAGGTAAGGCTCGACTGGGTGGAGAGGAGCTAAGGCTGGGTTATGGCTTTGAGGAGCGATCAGTGATTACATGGATGGTGATTTTCACGTCTGTGACCTCAGCCTCATCCGGGGTTGGGAATTCTTCATCATTAATTATCTCCCATCCCAGCGATTTTGGGGAAAGGAGAGGAAACAGCATCTGAGCTGTGCCCTTTGTTCCCAACAAAATCTCCCCCAAGGCTACAGCTGGAGGGGCAGGTTTTATGGGCTGCAATGCTCTGTGTAAGGTATAGCTACTATACACGGACATGCCATTTTTAAGCTACTTTGCCCTGTATAACCCATTGTCTGGCTATCTTAGTTCCTCCATCATCGCACATTGCACCATGCAGCTGATGATGCCCACCTGAGTCGAGACCGGCCTCTTCCCGGGTTGCCTTACCTGTTACGGGCATTTGCTGGAGCAAGGGGCAGGAAGGGAAACTATTGTACTTACAGTGACAGCCCCTCTTTGCACGTCACACGCGGGATACGCACTGGGAGCCTGCTGGGCTGTCCGTGCCGTAGCTCTCCTCGTGCTCCCAAACAAGGGCACGAAGGGCGGCGCAGGCCGACAGCACTCCAGTTCCTTAGCGCCACACGGGCCAAGTCAGAATCCTGGGTGTCCTTAGCACCTTTGCAGCACATCATTCCTGTAAGAATTGCACTCGGTTCATTTATAGCAGCATAGCATGGCTAGTGGGTATTTCCCCTCGCCCAGGGGAAAGAGACTCCACAGGGAAGTAAGGGCCAGTCTCATACATAGAGACTTGTCCTCCTAAGTCAGTCACAAAAAAGGGAACTCTCTTCCCCCAACCCCACCCAAATCAGGAGAGCCAATGCGCATGGGCACTAAGGTCTAAGGTCCAGCTCAATCTTCTGGGCAAAAGGAGGCAGCAAGGGTCTGGAGCCGATGGTTCCGATGCTGGATCCTGTGGTGAAAATGAGGTATAGGTGCTGGTTCTTCCAGCCACTTGAGGAACTTGGGCAGTACTGACAGCACTGTGGCCCTGAAGGAAGCCATCAGCCCATGGTGACCGGAGAGGCTCCAGCCTTTCTAGCTCCAGGAAGGGACCCTCCTTGTACTCCAGGAGGGCTGGAGACACATATCTACCTGGAAGACATATTTGCTTTCCCCCATCCAAGTTGGCTGCTCCTAGTGGGACCATATATATCCCAGGACAGCCTTACCCCAAAAGAAAAATCTACAGGGAGAGGCACAGTGGGAGCTCTGCCCTCGACACCCAGGGTTGGTGCACATGTCCTGCTAGCCCTTGCCTGGCTTTGTGTGGCCCGCTCTGCCAGGGTACTCAGAGGAGGAAGATGAGCGGATCAGACGGTTCTGGGAGCAAGCTCGTCATTGGTCACCAGATGAGGCAGTCACTCCATCTTCTCCGTCTCTGTCGGATGATTTTCAGCAATACCACGAGCTAGTGCAGAGGGCAGCAGCAGAGCTACACACCCCGTGGGAGGAAATTAAGGAGCCTTACGAGGGATGCCACAGCCCTCCTGTCCCGCTAGAGCGCACCTCCACGGAACTTCCCATCCGTTCCATCATCTCTTACTAAGACTCCCTCTGAGTCACTGGCCACATGACCTGGGACCAATCTGTCCATCCCGGTGGCATTTCCAATCGCTAATTCTTCTGGCTGACGTTCTAGCTAACAGAAAGCTTTCAGTGGGCCCACCTGATACTACGTTCTAGGTCTCTCTATGCCCCTATCCCCTTATCATGCCCAAGGGAGTTTATTAGTCTGGTCATCCATTTACCTGTGTATTTTCCTAAACCACATGCCTTGGGAGAGGAGAGAACTGCATTCTCTGGAGAGCTCTGGCCTTTTATCTGCAAAGAACAAAGAGTCACGAAGATGACTAGACTATTTGTTTCCATAGCAAAGCGACCAAGAGAACAACCTGTATTAACGCAGAAAGTTACAACCTGAGATCCATTTTGAATGATCTTTGTTACCTGCTAGCTGGTATTCCCCTTTCCTGTCCCCCCTCACCCCGAAGAGTGAATACCAGCTCATTCCACCAGAGAGCAAGCTACTTCAGCTGCATCCCTGGGACACACTCATATTTTAGAGATCTGTAGGAAAGCCACTTGGAAAGCTTTGCTTGCCTTCCTGAGACACCGGGCCCTGGAACAGTCACTGACTGCAAATATGGCTATGGGGACAGCAGTACGACATTCAGCCTTCATATCTCTCTGCATCCTCACACCCACCATCTGTGCGACTCCTGCTTCTTAAACCGCCAATGGGTAGAACATGCATCGGGACCATCACTCTTGGAAGAAATGGAGGGGACTTACCTGTAAGAGGAGGTTCTTTGAGATGCATGGTCCTTCTCTGCATTCCACTACCCGCCTTCCAGAAAATTTGTAACTGTGGTAAAGAATAAGGAAACTGGAGAGGCCCGTCCATTATGCCCTCCAGGGGAGCTACAGCGCATATGGGGGGCAAAGGACACTGCTTCCAAGAAGTTCTACACTCAGATCCATAGTGCACATGTGTCCCTTATAGGGAATACAAGTAAGGACCACACCTCTCAAAAACTTTTAGCTGCAGGTAAGTTACCCCCTTTTCTGTGCATGCAACCAATGGACTAGAACCCACAACAACGTAAGAGCACTGTAAAGGGAGGATTTCAAAGAAATATCCAGTTGCACATTGTCAGGCTTCCCGACCTCTCCCGCATGTTGCCATTTGTTTTCTTTCTGTTCAGGAAGTCTCAATTAACAGCTCTGATTCCACTTCCTTCTCTGACGGCCTTGCCTGTCTCGTTCACAGGAAGCAATTCTGGCTGCGAAATTCACTGAAGTTAGTGCTGTCAATAAACAGAGACTGCAGAACCTGGAATTTGCGCAGAATCTCCTGAAGCAGGTAACTAAGTAACAGAGGTGGCATAGAGATTAAACTAGGAGCTTGGCTTTCCAAACCATGCACCGTAGCTAGGTGACTTTGGATGGTCACATCTTCTGCACCGCAATGAAGGAGGTTTATGCATACTAAAATAGATTAAATTTGCTTAACATAAAGTTATTCTACAATATTTATTAAAGCAGACTTGCATATATTTGTATGCCAACTAAAAGAAGATCTAATTAATGTTACATCTGGAAATCACTATGTAGAAGGAACCTCATTTGAGCCCACCCAACTCAAACCCATCCAACGACCTCCTCCCCTTACCCATTTGGTGCAGGAGAGCGTTATGCAAGTCTTAAGAATTTATTGGTTGAATTGTTTTCAACTTTTTTCGTGAGCAGAGCTCCTTCCCCAATAGCCAGACACACCTTCCATGGAATAGCAGAAGGTGTGGTCGGGACCCTGTGGTTTAAGAACCTATGGACTAGTTCAACAAAGGGATATGTACTTGCTAATATGCAGTAGTCAATTACCAGTCCAAGTTCTCCCATAGTACTGTTACCATTATAGATGCTGAAGATAGGTACAAGCGGTGACTGCTAATGAGAAAGGTTGTCCTTACCATGCACTCTTTATTCTACTGACAGCAGCCAGAGGTACAAGTGATGCAGGAGTCTATCCAGACTAGTAAGCCTGAGAGGCCACAGGAGGAAGCCTGGAAAATAAAGAAAGAGCTGGATGATGAGAGTCAACGTCGACAGCAGCTAGAGGGAGAGATCAAAACCATCCAGAATGACATCCTCCACCTGCAGAAGCAGAAGCCCCAGGAGACTGTGCTGAAGAAGGAAGTGCTGAAGAAAGTGCCTGACCCTCAGCTGGATGAGAGCTTCCACAAAATGCAGCAAAACCTGACGGAAGAGCAACGCAAAAACCAGGTGCTACAGGATGAGCTGGAGGCCCTAAAATTGAAGCTGCAAGCCTTAGAGCATGAGAAGAGGGAAGGGGGCCGGGAGTATAGGGTGAAGGAGGTCCTGCGTATCGAGCAGGACAAGGCACAAGCAGAGGAGATCCTGAAGTTGAAAGAAGAACTGGAGGACCTCAGGAGGCAGGAAGGAGCCCGAGAAAGCGAGGTCACCCTCCTGCGCCACCAAATCACCGTGCTGTCTGAGGAGAAGAACAAAGAGCAGGAGAAGGTTACTGAGAAGGAAGTGGTGAAGCTACAGAATGACCCCCAGCTGGAGACAGAATTCCGGGTGCTACAGGAGAACAAGGAAAGGGAGAGCTATCAAAGGCAGAAGCAAGAAGAGGAGCTCAGCTTTCTGCAGGACAAGATGAAACGATTGGAGAGGGAGCGGGCCATTGCAGAGGGCAAGATCACAGTCAAGGAGGTTCTGAAGGTGGAGAAAGATCTGGCAACAGAAAGGGAGGTGAACGAGCTCCGACGCCAGTATGAAGACGAGAAGTCCAAGAGCCGGTCCAATGAGAGGGAGAAGGCTGAGCTGCTCAGAAAGATCCAGGTCCTGGAGGAGGAAAATGCTAAGGTGGTCATTCAGGAAAAAGTACGTGAGATAGTGCGTCCAGATCCTAAGGCTGAAAATGAAGTAGCCAACCTTCGCATGGAGCTGGTGGAGCAGGAGAGGCGGTATCGAGGTGGGGAAGAGGAGCTGAAGAGCTTCCAGAATGAGCTGGCTTACCTGAAGAACAGAAGCGGCCAGGTGGAGGTGAAAGAAATTATCAAGGAGGTCATTAAGTACAAGACCGATCCTGAGACTGAGAAGGAATTGCAGAGACTCCGGGAAGAAATTGTAGACAAGACTCGAGCGATTGAAAGAGCTGATGTGGAGATCTACCAGCTGAAGCAAGAGATTCAGACCTTGAAAGACACCAAGCCTCAAGTCCAGATGAAGGAAGTCGTCCAAGAGGTACTACAATACCGGGAAGACCCCAAGACCAAGGAAGAAGTGGAGTCCCTGAGAGCTCAGCTTGCAGAGGAACAAAAGAAGCACGTTGACTTGGAGAGGGAGAGGCTGCTCCAAGAGGAGAAGATCAGACAGAAAGAGGAGGAACTCTCACAAGTGAAGGAGAAAGTGGTCCAGCAGGAAGTGGTAAAGTTTGAGCAAGATCCCACCTTGAAAGCAGAGATCAATTCCTTCTCTGAGAGTATTGAGAGTGAGCTGAAGCAGATGGACTCCCTGCGAGAAGAGCTGCGCAAGCTGCAACGGAGGAGATCTGAGCTGGAGCGCCAGCTGGAGGAACTTGAGAAAGAGAGGCAGGCCCGCAGAGAGGCTGAACTTGAGGTGCAGAGGCTGAAGGTCAGGCTGAATGAGCTGGAACAGCAAGAGAGGGAGACAACGGAGAGAGTGACTGTGAAACAGAAAGTAATCCTCCAGCAAGACCCGCAGCAAGAGAAAGAACACTCCCTCCTTAAGCTAGAGCTGGAGGAAGAGAAGCACCGAAGGCAAGTCCTGCAGGCTGAGCTGGAAGCTCTGAGGAAGAAGCTCCTCACACTGGAAAAGATGGAGGTCAAGGAGAAAGTAGTCTTTTCAGAGAGCATCCAAGTGGATAAAGGGGACACCGAATATGAGATTCAAAAGCTGAAGAGCAACCTGGAGGAGGAGAGCCGGCGTAAAAGGGAGCTAGATGCAGACATCGACCGCCTTGAGGCCAGGCTGTCTGAGGTGGAGTTCAACAATTCCAAGTCCTCCAAGGAGCTAGATTTCTTGAGGGAGGAAAACCACAAACTCCACCTAGAAAAGCAGAATCTTCTGCTGGAAACAAGGAGGCTGCAGTCGGAGATTGAGCTCACAGCAACGGAAGCTCGGGATTTACGAAACATAACCCAGGTTGACAGCAGGGTGAATCTTGACACCAGATTCCAGACCTTGGAGCGAGAGCTGGAAGATCTGAAGACATTATCTAGAGAAAAAGATGCAGAGATTGAGCAACTTCAGAACCGCCTCAAGACAGTGGCCATCAAGAGAGAGCAGAGAGAGAACCACTTGCGGCGCTCCATTGTGGTCATAGACCCCGACACCGGCAACGAGATGTCTCCAGAGGAAGCTCATAAATACGGCCTCATTGAATGGAGCTTGTTTCTCAAATTGAAGAACCAGGAATGTGACTGGGAAGAGATCTCAATAAAGGGGCCTAATGGGGAGTCCTCTGTGATCCTAGACAGAAAGTCTGGCAAAGAATTTTCCATCGAGGATGCCTTAAAGAGTGGAAAATTAACCATGGCTCAGTATGATCGTTACCTCAACAAGGAGATATCCATCCAGGAGCTGGCGGTACTGGTATCTGGACAGAAGTAATTACAGTGTTCCCTCCACTCTATATCGAAACTCCTTACAGCAGCTTGCTCAGAGCTGTGCCACTTGTTACAATTCCAGATCGCTGCAAATCCTTTGTGTCTTCCAAAATGCTATAGCCTTTGCCTGGTCCAACATGAGGCTGCTATGAAGCCAGGCTGCTTGCTGCATCCATTCCATAAGAGCACTGTCACGGCAGAGGTGGAAAACGCATTTGTCAGCATTGCATGAACTTTTCTTCCACACGACACTCTTACCTGGATACTCAAACAGAAACACAAACAAAATGATCTTCACGTCTGAAGCTGCTGATTAACACGTGCTCTCAAATTCAGCACATCTCAGCACATTCTTTTTTGTTTTTCTGTCAAATCTGCACTTCTCTCTCGAGGATACCGCATAGTCAGGTAAAAAGCTGTACAAAGAGCACACTGGAAAGAGACAAAAGGTCAATACCACCCCAACAGCAGAGGGAGCCTAGTAAGCCACCCACATGTATGAAAATCTAGAGAAACACTTTCATTGTATACAGTGGAATGAATGATGGTATCTTCCCCTGAGAACGGCAGCTAAGTGCGCAAAAAGTGAAATTTACACTTTTATTCATAGTCCTGATACTAAGATCTCATCAAAGGTTGCAGACATACTTCCTTCACCTCAGTGCCTCTAATGCCAAAGGGGAGGGGGAACAAAAAGAATTATAATTAGATACAGTAAATCCTAGATATAAAGGAGGTATTTTCATAGGACATCACCAGAAATATGTAGAGATATCAATATTATGTAGTAAAGCATGCTCCTGTTACCTAATGCAGAGGTGCCTTCTCAATGGCCATGCTTACCTCATGGTTAAAAGCCACTCATACTGATATTTTATTGACTAAAGTTACGTTCAGCTACATGTATCATTTATTTGTTAAGGGAAATGGGAAAGGTGGGGAAATTCTATTTATAGTACAAAATAAAAATGCGGTGGTTTACATCAGGAGTTTATTTTTCCTTTTTAAAACGATGCCTTCCTTTTGATTGAGTGCCTTAAAGGAATCCAAAGTTTCAGAATCAAAGATTCACCCAGCACTGAGCTTTGGACTTTCTGCCTTACCGTGTAGCTTGGCTATGAAAAAAGGATGTGAAAGAGCACTATGGGGTTCCATGTTTATTGCATCATGGATTTCCTAATCCAGCCTGCTCAGTTTAAAAGTGGAAGAGCTTTTCCTGCAATCTCTGTCTGGGATCTGAAAGGCAACCTGGTTTTTTCCTACCTCCTCTATCCTCCTGGGTAATACAGGTTCTATAGGCCAAATTCTGCCCTTAGCGATACCCATAGACAGGGGTATGATCCCAAGTACCACTTGTGCAATTCCACTGCTTTTAAGAAATTTACACAGCTGTAATTTACTGGAACCTAGAACATAGTTCCGCTCACTTTCCTCAAGCTAGTCTGCAATGCTAAGAGCACTAAACATGTATTTTATACCCAACCCTGCTTCTACTCAAGTCAATGAGAGAGTTTTACCATTATTAAGCTAAAAGAAGGGTCCCTCACAGCAAAGGTAACACACACACACACACACACACACAGGTCTGTTGAGTAAGAAGGTATCATTCTACTACAATGACAATTTAAGAGTCAGAGCTGTATTTCAAGAAGATGCGGTCATTTACAAAGCATCCACCAAAATGCAGACTAATTAGTCAGCCAGTGACTGACCGGGGCAGCAATACAGTCACTAAGATGATTTTCCAGTTAAATTACATTGGAAATGAAGCCAAGAGACTGAAAAGAGCATTTTGGAAACTTTGAAACAATTTATTCAGTTGCTCTGTACAAGATGGACAGTTTTCATACCATCCCCATCATTGTCCTCTAGAAAGTCCCACACTCACAACAAAAATAAAGCCAATTGCAGCTCGTACACACAACAGAAACTGCCATACTTAGTAAGTGCCGGTGGGAGGCTCGGCCCCCACCTTAAAGAAAATAGCAAAGGTTGCCTAGTCAAGGCAGAGATCCCAGATGTTCTGCTCCCCACGGCTTGTGATCTCATTCCATACTTCTGCCTTGCCACGGCCATTTAATTCATTCACTCGTTCATTACATCATGTAAAGAAAAAAAAATCCCACAGAATTTCCACCGAATACACAATTCCCTGAGGCAAGAGGCTTCGCTAAACTCCTAAAACAAGGGCATTCCGTTCCAGCTGCGACATGCGAAGGTGCATCCCAGCAGAAACACCGAAGTGAAAGCAAAGAGAGGGAGTGGAACCAGTACCTTGCGTTGCCCATTAAGGGCTGGGATCCTGCCAGGTGTTGGACTGCCCTTTCAGCTGCCACTGGCATCAGTGGAAGTTGAAGGTGCCCAGCACCTTTCGGGATCAGGCCCGAAATAGGAACCATGCAACATCCACTGTTCAGAGTCCATCGATAACTGCTGTACTTTATCTTAATGCAAATTCTGTCTTTGGCTCTTTTGCTACAACTTAGAAATATTTTCTTTTTTGTAAACAAATTTGAATTCTGAGCTGCATTTTTAAAAAAAATATGAACAGTGAAGTGATCTTGAGAAGTCCTTTATCAGTTCCACTTCCAAACATGCGTCTTGGGTCTTACTTAAAATACAGAAAACTGGAGCTACTATTTGCTGGCATACTTGATTTCAGTACCCCTCCCCCCCTTCCCAAATCACAGGAAGGAATTCTGCAAGTTTTTACGTGACATACCAATGAGTAACTTATGGAGCGGTGCTATTATCTCTGAAGTCCAGATACATTAGACCTGGTTAAAAGGTGACCTGAAAAGAAGGAGATCACAACACCACAACTACAAGTCAATGGGGCTTACAATCTCAGAACTACCAACTGCCCCTTATGCACGCATGTCAAAAGGGACGCGCAGACAGACTGAGATCAGCTTACAGGGCTAAAGCAAAAAAAATACACACTCAGATCCTAGTAGAGCCCCACTGCTGTAGCTCTGACAAGTAAGTGGTTTTAGTGCAGAAGTCATCAAGGGGAGCAATATTCACTGGAGTATCCGTGACCTTTGTTAATCTAGATCACCAGAGAGCTCATTTTTGAAGACCCTAGTAAAGAATGGCTTTAGGGGAGGGTCTGGAACCCACTTGCACAAACTCAGATAAGAACTGGTGGCCTTGCTGGATTTGGTACTGGATTTAAAGTAACCAAGTCACTATTTAAATCCAGACAGTGCAGCTTTTGATGTGCAACCATAAAAAGGTCTATTAAATAAAAAGAGAATACATCTTAAATAGAGAGTGATTAAAAAAAGAACTGAGGCGCGCACACAAAAAAAGGGGCAAAACGGGTGTTAAGTCCATTCTTGCTCCACCATAAAAGGCACTGGAATTACGTCTTCCTATACATGTGACATGCTGAGAAGTGTTCCAATCGATCCAATGCATTCAATGGTAATGAGAAAACTGAGCACACACAAAAAATCCCTTGAGAGGAAATACAAATGTAGAATCGTTTCAGTGTCCATGAGTGCATCTAGAAATGTCTCTCTAAGAGTCTTCATCCTCCTTGAGAAGGGACTATCAGGTGATTCATGAGAGTCGCCATAAAGGAAGTGCTAAGTTCTCCCGCTAACTTGAGCACTGCTTTATAGTACAATTGAAAAATTAGAAGAGTCCATGTCTTTGAAATGCACTTGCAGTGCTTGAGTTATCCAAGTAAATCCAAAGCAGGAATAAGCACCTTTCAGAGACTCTCTCCTGGGGAACCAAGGAGGTAACTGAATTCAGAGGTACTTGGCAGATTTAGACACAGGTGGGGGGAATCCACCAGGGCGCTTGACTTTTTGAAAGAAAGACGCCCCAGCAGTGGTTCCCCACAAGTTCTAGTGCTTGCCAGTGCCACCGTTGTGCGAGCACCGTAAGCAGTGAAACAGTGCTGTAAGTGCTTCTCTCACAGGGTGCAGCACAAGGTGGCTTGCTTCCTGCAGGGCTCCTCTCTGGACGCCACTGATCAAAAGTGCCAATGAGCTCTTCACTCAACTCAGGTTTCTCCAGCTGCTGTCAGGAAAAGAAAACAAAGAGCAGGTGGAAAACGGGCCATCTGCATCCAGTCTTCATGGCTCATTCCTCTTGGTTTGTCCTGGGCTTGAAATAGCTTCCCCTCATGCAGATGTCACAATTTTCGCTGCTGCACGTTGGACCCTTTGCCATGAAGCTGAGATGCATCTGAAGGAGAAGCAAAACAAGAAAGGAAAAGGTTTCAACTTCAGCAGTAGGGTTCTGTGCACAGCTAGGGGCACCAAGATCCCATCACACGTTAAAGCTATTGAGTCACCAAGGATTCAGACTAGAAGATACTAGGGGAAGAGATTTTTTCATGGACATGTGGTAACTGGCAGTGGTCTTCATTGTGCCTGTATATTACATGGTCTCAAGAGGCAGGAGACCTTCTAGCCTAATCATCACCAAGGGCAATACATACAGGTAGCTGGGAGGAGGGAGCTGTTGGCTAGTCAAGCAAGCTATTTTCACCTTATCAGACCAAACTCGCAAGTGCCCTTTTCCATGGCTAACAAATACATGATTTTACTGATTACCCAGAGAACAAGGAAATTGTAGTTGTTGAGAGTCTGAAGAGAAGTTTAAACAGGAAAAGATTCATTTAAGCCGTAGAGACCCACTAACTGCCATGAATTAATCTTTTTGGACTTCCCTCACTCCCAAAGATACTCATTGCACCACCAGTAGCAAAAACTGAAATACCAAAGGTATGGGAGAGGAGCAGGAGAAAGTAGAACAAGGAGAAGGGACATCACAGAAGAGAAGTGAGGAGAGAGCCAGAGAGCTGAAGAAAGCAGAAAGTTTCTAATCACGATTACGCTAATATCAAACTAGACTGCGTGAACTGGTATCTTTGAAATGCATAGCATGGCAGAAGTGGTATTGGGCATGGGGGACTAACAGTTTATACTGTTCTAGTGCTTCTCACTCCAAGGCAGAGATGGTTTTGCTGGTTCTAGAGTTGACTTGTGACGTGGATTTTTTCAAAACAAGAGGCAAGTGAGGTTAGAACAAGCAGTAGAAGAAAAATACCTTGTGCAATCCAATCAACAAACAACTTGATGGCAGCATGGCAAACAGACTGCATGCCATTTGCTCAGATATTTTGGACAGCTACTACACACACTTTAAGACGCCCTCATTTCCCAGTACTGACAGGACATCCCAACATACTGCAGGCTACCCAGCTGTCAGCTAGCTACATCTCCCTTACCCTGAAACAATCTTAGGAGGTGTAATTCTCCTACACAAAGGAGATTCATTTCCATATAGTCAGCCATAGTTTATTTCACCACATATAGACTTGAAAGCCCGAAGGAACCCTTACAATCACTTACTTTGACTGCTTGCATACAACCATTAGAATTTTACCAAGAGATTTCAGCACCAAGACCATAACTTCTGGTTCAGCTAGAGAATATATGTTTATTTAAAGACATCAAGGTGATGAGGAATCCACCATATCCCTAAGTAAATTGTCCCAGTGGTTAATTCCTCACAATTAAAAGGTGTGCCCCCTATTACTAGTAGGAGTGTGTCTAGTTTCAGCTCTGGCCACTGGATCTCATTAGGCCCTTCTGCTGAAGGCTTACTACCAGAAACCTTCTCTTCATGTAGCTATGTTTAAGAACATGATCAAGTCACCAATTCTCCTTTGATAAAGAGAAGATCTCTTTGTATGAAAATATACTCTGTGTGTTGCTAAGACTTAATTAAAAAACAAGAACCATCTTGCTCCTTAGAAGATGTAGTTTTATCATCACAACATAAAGCAAAAGGTTTTAATCTCCATATCTACACAAACACAACTTACTGGTTTCATGTACCTAGTCACTGCAGGTAGGCCCTGTTCTCTGCTGCTCCGCATCTATTTCTCTATGGTGTATTGACTGGAGCGAAACCGTATTTCAGGCAGCACTGGGGTGACGGAGTGGGGGAAAGGAATGCTGTGAGTTCTGATTAATGCAGTGCCCATACCCTTTGCTCTGCAGAGGAACACGTTCCTTGGGGATAGATTACATGATACTACCCTACATTAGTAGGCAAGAGGGTCAGCCACGCCCAGTGCCCTTGCCATACCACAAATAAGCTGCTCCCTCACCCCTGCATGTGGCACATTGCTCAAGTGTGAAATGCAGCAGCAGGACTGAACTGCATGCCTAGAGCTATGTGGTGCATTGGCCAGGATTAAAAAAGCAGGAGCTGCCATCAGTCAGGACTGATCTCCACTTGCAGTGTTGCATGGGGAAGTGTGCACAGCACTCTACAGTTGGGTCTTGAGTCTATAAGCACCTGTTTCCAGACCCAGAAAAAGCTACTGCTGGTAGGTGGCTTTATCATGTGCCACACAAACAGCAGCAGCTATTGTTCTAATTAGAAACCGACAGAGAAAGAAAAGTCACCAGCTCCTCACAGATCTCCTATGGTTTGTGCTGGTTCTGAAGATATCAAACTGGGGTGTCACAAACTTACTCCCAAAAAAGTCAAATGGCTAATACCAGCTGTGGCTGAAGGAGAGGCAGCTAACTAGCACGATATGCATGGGAGCAGCGTACCTTGCTGCAGGTAGTAAGCCAAAGGGTGCCGAGCCACAAGGTGACAATCCTCTATGCAATTAGCATTTTTAATCCAAGACACTACTAACAAGTTATGCAAAACCACATAAAGCTCTTAACCCTGGTGGCGTGACCCTTTATCATGCACCAAGAATAGAACCAAACCACCTGAGATGCTCAGAAATCCCCCAAAGCACCTGGGGGAGGGAGTCTTTCCGAAATGGAAGATTTCTACCATCTGGTCAGCAAATGTAAAGGATGTTAAGGACCATAAACCTCATGAGGCTAGTGAAATGGAGCATCAACAAAGACTACACCAGTAAAGACAACATCGAAGGTGGTGGTGTTTTCACCCCGAGACGAGGCATCCATCAAGGCGGAGGACAACTCACAAGGCACACAACAAACAAGACCATCTGACAAGTTACCTGGCAAACTCTGCGGTAAATGGGTGGACAGGGCAGAGTGTGGGAGTTGTGCTGCATGGTGCGGGCTGGAGTGCAAGCCAGCCAGAAGACCTAGAGAGAAAAACAAAGAAAGGAGGGAGGGAGGGGAGAGAACAAATGTACACTGAGGACGGAAACAAGCAGAGGAGCTGCAGCTGTTAGAGCTTATAGCTTTGCCTCCAATACTAGTTCTGCTGAACAATGGAAGACAGGGATGGCCAGGAATGGCTAGCTACAGGTACATGCCCGAGGGCCTCCAAAACCACCGGTTTAAGACACAAACACATGAACTACAAGCACAAAGCAACAACATGAGAAGCTCATATGCAATGGTCTAACGCAGTGCCGTCCTGGGGCCTTGCAATTCTAAGCACAGGCATGAGAGAAACACACGGGGAAAGCACTCACTGTGGCTGAGGCCATGGTGGAACGTTCCTGGGGCAGGTCCCGTGACAATTGCATCCTTGGATACTCCTGCTTTGGGGGAGGAGTCTGAGCTGAAGGAGATGACGTGAAGAGGGAAGGAATGGATGGGAGCAATAATCCCCAGCGGGGCGGAGCTCAGGGCACCCGGCAGCTTTGGACTGCTGGACTTGTAGGATGGAGACAGTACACTTAAGGAAGGGGAACTGGTCAACAGCACAGCTCCACTGGTTCCTTTCTGGGGATGAAACAGCACAAATCAGTAAAATGGAAACACAATGGTACCTCATCAGCCTTCCCACTGGACATGGGGAGCCCTGACCCCCTCCGCGCCCAAAGCCTCCTCCCCCATACATAGAACATCTGTCTGCCAGATGCCAGAAGTCCAGCTCCATAATGCAAACAAACCAGCACTCCGTTTCTAGGACCAGAACTCCCACACTGGCCCAGCCCAGTGGTCCATCTAGTCTGGAAGCCTGTCTGCAGCTGTGAATGCAGCCTTCAGAAGAAGGTGCACCACTTCCATGATGGACAGTCCTACACAAACGTTGCCACATGGGAAGTTTCTTACCCCAGGCCATTTGCTGGCTTATGTCCTGAAGCATGGGAACTCATTACCAATAACCTCATATCCTTATCCCATCAGTATAACAGACTATTCTTGGTTCACATGCCTTGTTCTTCAATTAATCCTTCTCAGACTAAGAGTTTAGCAATGTGTCCCACTAGAGTTCTACAGCTTGATTAGAAATGGCGAAAACAAATTGTTCAGTCCATTTAAAATGTGCTCCCTTTTAATTGCTTTGTGACCCCCCCCCTTAGCCCATTCTGCGTTATGCAAAAAGTGTACATATGAATGGCTGACTTCACGTTGATCTTTACATGAAGGCATCTAGAATATATAAGCTTTCTTCTGGGCAGTGAGGTCCCACTGATTTCGGGAAAACTACCCACATGCTTAAAATTAATCATTAGGGTCTAAAATTGCATTTTTATTTAAAAAGTTCTCTTGGACCTCGACTAGAGTTTTGCCAGTAGAACTGACTAGTATGCTAGGAGGGCTTTGCCAGTCAAGTGTGGCTGCAGTTTTTATTGACAATACTGTTCCTAGCATAGGTTATTCCAGTTTGATATTTCAAAGTAAAGCTGGATTCAGTGTTAAAAACAACAAATTATTCAGACTAGGGGTGTTAAATATCGGTTAATAGAGTAGTTGATTAACCTCATGAATTCTTATCGGTGGGATGCCAGGTGGGAGCTGGTCCATGAGAGGAGCCAGTTTAAAAACCAGCTCCCTTCACAGACCAGCTGCCTGTCGCCCGGTGCTGCTGCTTCTGATACAGAGGCAGCAGTGCGGAGTGTCAGCAGCCCCTGTCCAGGGATGGGGATGGTGGTCTGAGCTCCTGGACCCGGTGCAAGCCAGAAGTGAGCTGGGCTGGGCTGCCTGCTCGCCTGGTTCCTAACACACTTTAAATGAAGAGCTGCAGCAAGGGTAGGTTCCAGACCTGGAGCAAGCTGGGACTGAGCCAGGATGCAGGCCAGCCTACTAAAAAAATTACTGGCAAGTGTGTGGAAACAAGCATCATTAATAAAAACTTCTATGTAAAATCTAAAAATCTAACAGGAAGTTGAAAAAAATACAAAACACTGATATTGACCATTTAAAATTGTAAAATGGGAAGAAAGTAAAGAATCAGCAATATGAACATTGGAAATCAGAAGTGTGTCTTGTGTTGATTTTTTTAAAAATAAAAATCACTATTTTTAACCATCCTGGAAATGTATCTGGCTGGCTGTCCGAGTTTACATTTACAGAGCTCAATGGGACAGTGGACATGGACATTTCTTTGAGCTATTCTTTCGGGCTACTTGCAAATTCAGGCAAACAGCACTGAATACATAACACAAGTCACAATTCAGAAGGTTTTCTTCATAACCCATAATGGACTAAAAACTTTGATTCTTTATAAATAAAAAATGAAAGCTTAGATTTTCTGGAGCACCAGATTTGTGACAAAGGGTGAATTCTGCAGCAAATGCCACATCCTGAATCTAAACAGACAGCTTAAGGCATGACAATCTATATTCAGAGATTGTACAGTGTCTAGTGCAGGGATGGGCAATAATTTTTGATGGGGGTCACTCCAAGAGTCTGGAAAGTTGTCATGGGCCACACTTTTATACATTAATGGAGGGGGTTTAGGGTCTGGGATGAAGGTCAGGTGCAGGAGGGAGCTTGGAATAGAGGATTAGGGTACAGGACAGGGTGTGGGGTTTGGGAGGGAGTTTGGGTGAAAGAAGGAGTTGTGATTAGGGCTAGGGGATTAGGATGCAAGTGGGAGCTCTGGTTGCAGAAGAAGATTCTGACCTGGGAGAGGAGTGCAGGGTCTGGGAGGGAGTTTGGAGGCAGGAGGGCGGTGTGACCTGGAGCAGGAATACAGGAGGAGGTATACAGGGCTTGGGAGCAGGAGGGGACTGTGATGTGGGGCAGGCAGTTGGAATGTAGGAGGAGGTGGGTGCCAGGTAGGCAGTTCCAAGCTGGGAGCATAGCTCCCTGACTGTCGTGGTTCCACACACCGCTCCAAGCAGCCATACTCAGGCGCGTGCCTGTGCCTGTGCGGAATGCCCCAGGAAAGAGGAGAGGGGGAAAGAGGAGCAGCAGGTATCCACATGCTGCATACACCTGCAAGCACCATAACTGCAGTTCTCATTGGCTGGATTCCAGGGTGTGGGCAAGTATTGGGCTGGGAGCAGGGACAGCGCATGGAGATCCCTCTTCTCCCCAAGGGGTGCATGCCCCACAGTGTCACACGCTAGCCCGAGGGGCCCACTGAGCGGTGTACCAGATCCAAACGTTTGGTGGGCCAGATATGGCCTGCAGGCTGTATTTTGCCCATGCCGATTTAGTGTAATGGGGTTCATTACAAAAGTTCCTAGATGCTACAATAACACAGAAATATCTGAAATTAGTTTGGAGCTTTCACTTAGGCAGATCTTAGCAAAACATCGAGACACACAGTGACATGGGTCAGGCTGTCCCAGCAGCACACTTACCGGCACAGAGGTAGAAGATGCGGCGCTACTAACCACAGCTGGCTTTATGGAGGAGGTTAGTAACTTGGCTACCCCCTGAGTCCCGCCACTAGAATCTCCATTTGGACCACCAGGTGGCGCTACTAGAGTCAGCTTCTGGGAGATGGGGGTTTTCTTGACCATGGAGCTCGGGGAGGACCGGCTGGGAGCCTGCCCTGGGGAGGGAGTCTGCACACCTGACAGCAAGCCCCCAGACGAGGAGCTCTGGTGTGCCGACACTGCCGACGTGGAGCTGCTGGAGGAAGCCCCGTGCTTGGAGAGGGAGCTGGGGATGAAGGGAGATTTGTAAGTCTGCCCTGATGTGCTGGAGCTGGTTGAGTGTTTTCCTGTGTAGCTTAGGGATGCTGTAGAGGAGCCAGGACTCTTGTGGGAGCTGCTGGAGGCTGGAGTGCTGCCCGCAGAAGAGGAAGCCGAGGAATGGAAGCCCTGAGCTTTGGTCGATGGCTTGACTGGCTGGAGGAGGGAGCGCGGCGGCACAGGGGAGACGGACTTGGGGCTCTGCAGTTTGACAAAAGGGGTTGAGGACATGAAGCTTTTCTGCTGCTGGCTGCTTGAGTGAAAGACTTTCACTTGGGAGGAGGGGGCGCGGAGGCACAGGGGAGACGGACTTGGGGCTCTGCAGTTTGACAAAAGGGGTTGAGGACATGAAGCTTTTCTGCTGCTGGCTGCTTGAGTGAAAGACTTTCACTTGGGCAACGGGCAAGGGAGTGGATGTCTGGGGCCCGTGACTCGTTCGCTGCAGGCTGTGGTGCTTCTGTTTGGACTGGTGTGCATCAGGGAGGATTTTATTGGGGGAGACTTGGCAGGACAGCTCTTTGTAACTCTCTGCCTTTTTGTCTTGAGCGGACTGGCCCAATGCCAGGGCCTGCTCAGCCAGGAAATTGAGAGGGGATTGTAGAGGACCAGCAGGGGGCGGGGTAGGAGAAGAACTAGACTTGGCAAAGTTCCGTTTCTCCTCTGAAGTTGCAAGATTCGAGATCTTCTCTGCAGAAGGCTTTGGGGGTCCGGGGAGAGTGAAGTCCGGGCTCCCGCAGGCTCGGCTGTTAAGCACAGCCAATTCCTTAGACACAGCCTCCAGGGAGGAGGTTGGGTTACGAATTAAGTCCTCATCCAGGGAGTCATCCATACTGAAGGCAGCAGGGGTGGTAGTGCTGCTAGATGCTTGAGCAACGCTGAGACACAAGAGTTCTCTAGTCTGGGAGCTGATGCCAATAGCCACTCCCTGGGGCTCTGACGGCAGAGAAACCGTGCCACTTGCATGGATCAGTGGGACAGGAACTGGCATCTTCTTATCTGGCTTGCTAGAGGATTCCTGCAAGAGAGTCACAAAAAGAGAGACACCAGGGCGAGACAGACTTTACCAGGCTGCCTGGTCTGTTCATTCAGATGGGAGAAGTTGGGGAAGGCCCAGCTCAGTCGCTTGCTTTGTCCACAGACCCCATAAGCAACAAGTACAGACCTACAGGTGGTTGCCTTTTTATTTTTAAACTTGCACAATTTAAGTGAGTTACTCACCCAGCCCTGCTACAGACTACCCAGCTGAGTGCCAGTCCAGGGAACACCCACCCCATGCAGCCACCAAAGAATCTTTTGCCTTGGAGTTTCCTTGTCTTTTCAGCTCTCAAGGGGTGAAGAAACAGCCTTTAGAAAGTCAGTATTTGCCAACCATTACTATTTCCTATTCTAAGGCTATAATAGATGGAAGCAACAGCTGGCAAGTGATTTGAAAACTGCTGGATTTCAGTGGAGATCAGGAATAGAGAAGTCTTGTTAAAATGTAAAACAAGTCTACAGATTTTGGGAGCCCACAGACTTAGGGGAATCTAGATGGATGGTGGAGGATTTGCTTAGTTTCAGCTTTCCTCCCAAGTTACAAGCACTGCTGAATGCTTCACTTCCTCAGAGAAGAGTGTTAGGGGGAAACTTAGTGAGTGTGTATATTTGTGTTCCCCAGGAGTTGTCAAGCAAGATCCTTTATACCTGTTCTGATGCTGTATCCTTTGCAAAGCTTGCTACATCTCTATTCCACACATAATCCAGTTAGTATCAGGGATGTAAAGGGGTAACCGGTTACCCAGTAAGTATCACCCTCGGTGGATGATGCTTATCAGTAACTGGTTAACTTTGGCCGGGTCTGGCTGGAGCAGTCCTCACCCATGGTGTGGCAGATTCGCCCTCCCCCGCCCCACTCAGTCCATGGCACTACACACATGGAGGGCTGCTCCACGGCTAACTGATTAAACAATGTTTAACGAGTTAATTTTAAAATGACCATTTGCATCCTTAGTTAGTATCCAAATGCCCAGGAACATCTGGAGTTTACCTCCACCCCATCCATTCTCACAGACAGCATCCTCTCAGATATTAAGGCAGGGTTCCCTAGGGAGGTGATGGAACCTCCAGTCTGTTCATTCAGATGGGAGAAGTTGGGGAAGGCCCAGCTCAGTCGCTTGCTTTGTCCACAGACCCCATAAGCAACAAGTACAGACCTACAGGTGGTTGCCTTTTTATTTTTAAACTTGCACAATTTAAGTGAGTTACTCACCCAGCCCTGCTACAGACTACCCAGCTGAGTGCCAGTCCAGGGAACACCCACCCCATGCAGCCACCAAAGAATCTTTTGCCTTGGAGTTTCCTTGTCTTTTCAGCTCTCAAGGGGTGAAGAAACAGCCTTTAGAAAGTCAGTATTTGCCAACCATTACTATTTCCTATTCTAAGGCTATAATAGATGGAAGCAACAGCTGGCAAGTGATTTGAAAACTGCTGGATTTCAGTGGAGATCAGGAATAGAGAAGTCTTGTTAAAATGTAAAACAAGTCTACAGATTTTGGGAGCCCACAGACTTAGGGGAATCTAGATGGATGGTGGAGGATTTGCTTAGTTTCAGCTTTCCTCCCAAGTTACAAGCACTGCTGAATGCTTCACTTCCTCAGAGAAGAGTGTTAGGGGGAAACTTAGTGAGTGTGTATATTTGTGTTCCCCAGGAGTTGTCAAGCAAGATCCTTTATACCTGTTCTGATGCTGTATCCTTTGCAAAGCTTGCTACATCTCTATTCCACACATAATCCAGTTAGTATCAGGGATGTAAAGGGGTAACCGGTTACCCAGTAAGTATCACCCTCGGTGGATGATGCTTATCAGTAACTGGTTAACTTTGGCCGGGTCTGGCTGGAGCAGTCCTCACCCATGGTGTGGCAGATTCGCCCTCCCCCGCCCCACTCAGTCCATGGCACTACACACATGGAGGGCTGCTCCACGGCTAACTGATTAAACAATGTTTAACGAGTTAATTTTAAAATGACCATTTGCATCCTTAGTTAGTATCCAAATGCCCAGGAACATCTGGAGTTTACCTCCACCCCATCCATTCTCACAGACAGCATCCTCTCAGATATTAAGGCAGGGTTCCCTAGGGAGGTGATGGAACCTCCAGCCCTAGAGGTTTTTAAGACTCGGCTTGACAAAGATCTGGCTGGGATGATTTAGTTGGGGTCGGTCCTGCCTTGGGGAGGGGGCTGGACTCGATGACCTCCTGAGGGCTCTTCCAGCCCTGAGATTCTGTGATTTGACCTGTGAAGACTAGGAAACAACCTCCCTCTCTGACGTGGGGATAGCTCCATGTATGTCACAAGCAACACTGTCCCTCCCCACCCAAAGACTGGTAAGTACAGCCACTGAGAGGCAGGGAGACAACAAAACTCACTTTCACCTTCACTTTTGGAGGAGCCATAACTTTCTTCTTGGACCTGTTTGGAGAAAGAAAGAAGACATATGGGCTCACTGAACTTGCCTGGGGGAGCAATCCAATTAAGGCATGCATTGGGGGCTGTTCACAGGAGTGCACTAACTTCTCTCCACTGAGATTTTTAAGAAAGGCAGCTTCTCAGGTTGCTAGTACTCAAACCCACACGAGGCTTGCTATTGCTCAAGAAGGCCTTGACTTGCGTGTGGGAGCACAAAGGTGGTGGGGGAGGAGACGGAGCACTGTGGAAATTTTTTTTCAACCATCACTGAAAGCAACTAGCCTCCATGTCCTGCTGCAGCTGTTGCTTCAGTACTGAAATGAATGCATTCCAGAAGTCTGAGGAACAAATGATAACAGATTGCAGAGAGAAGCCTGCGCTAGCCACAAATGCTACCTGATTTCTCCTGGCGTCCCATGGAAGCATCCTCAGATAAACCGTCACTGAGGGTCCTCTCAGACATTAAGGCAGGCACCATTTCAGCTGGACTCTATATGGTTTTCCTGGCAAACTGGTATCCCTCCATCTTGCCTACAATGACTCTTAACTACTATGCTTATCCCAGACCCTCTTTCATCCAGACAAGAAAGAGCCTGCATTTAATACAGACCGAGGGATACTGATGGAACCAAGCACAAACTATCACCATGCTCCCTCCACGGGTGTAGTATATGTATTGCCCCTTCTGTTGAACTAAACTCTCGGAAAGCTCAGCCCAGGTTAAAGTTCTTATCTGGGGGACTCTCAAGGTGAACATATGCCAGCAAATCTATTGTTGGAGGCCAAGTCATATGCAAATAGTAGCTATGTTACTTCCCAGAGGCGCTCTCCGCTCATGCAAAACCAATACATCTGGAGAGAGCTGAACAAGCAAGACTGGGGGCCTCATTTAGAGGTAAACCATGAACAACGAGAACTTTATTTGCAAGCCACCAATCTCACACTGAACAACAGTATCTACAGAGGAAGGCAAGTGCTGCAAGATACTCACAGAATTGATGTCAGGTGTCCATGCACACGCCTGCTCTCCTTGAACAGAGTCCTGGAAAGCAAAGAGAGCAGTGAGCAGTTTTCTCCAGCCTTACTCACTAAAATGACAGAGATCACTGGAAACAGATCTCTACCGTACCATGATTAAGGATGTGAATGGGTAGCCATTTACACGGTTAATTGATGAGCCTATGAGAGGCAGCAGCTTGGGAGGGGCGGGGGGGAGAACAGGTGGGATCTGGTATGCACAGGGAGCTGGCTACCACACCCCACACTGGTGCCTCTGATACAGTTTATAATATTTATAGTGTACTCATTCCTTTTCTCCTGCCTGCTGTCTGTCTGCTTGTCTGCCATTAGCCTGTGAACTCGGACTGTTTTGTTTCAGTGCTTAGAAAGCAAGTGAGAAAAGCAATTTTTGTTCATAGTCACTGTCTAGTAAATTTCACATCTAACTTCTCATGCACTCAGTCAGAAATTGCAATTGTTACCTTACTCCTCCTACTGCTGGAAATGTTTGTTTATATATTGACATGTTCATTGTTTAAACATTTATTAGGAATTTGGAATACGGCAATGGAACTATTTCTGTTACTCTCAGATAAAGGCTGATGTTTTACAAACACAAACCTCAAATAGTGTATCCAAATCCAGCAATGCCCTTTGGAACCTTCCTTACCCATTTTCCAATCCCACTGCCCAGCTCATGTTTTCCGAATGGTACATTACAAATGTCTACACACTTGAGAACTTCACTTCCATGTACAACTGCAATACGTAGGCATGCAGGTGTCCAGTTAGACCGGTCAATGATGATTATAAAAGGCATTGACCTACTTTTCCTTTTCATGCCAACTTACTTCAGGCAAAAGGATGAAGAACCCTCATAGCAGGAGTTTACCACTGCCCTTTGTTTAAGCTATTAAGCAAAAGAAGCAAGACGACAGCTGACAGCGGCACCAAAGTGATTCTGCTCCCCACTTGTATGCTGGTTTCCTCACTGGACTATATGAGGAGGAAACAGACTAGCAGACGAAAAGGAAGAGCACAGATTCAATCCCACTTATGCTGCCTTTCTTCTGTGAGATGGGAACATGACTGAGGCCTCACTCATGTCCCAGCTACTGCAAGATCCTCGGAGATAAGTAGGGCCCTACCAAATTCACGGTCGCTTTTTGGTCAATTTTATGGACATAGGATTTTATACATTTCATGATTTCAGCTACTTAAATCTGAAATTTCACGGTGTTGTAATTGTAAAGATCCTGACCCAAAACGGATGTGTGTATGTGTGTGGGCGGGCGGGGTGTTTGCAAGGTTACTGTAGGGAGGACTGTGGTATTGCTAGCCTTACTTCTGTGCTGCTGCCGCTGGCAGCAGTGCTACCTTCAGAGTTGGAGAGCCACAGGTGGTGGCAGGAGCCCAGCTCTGAAGGCAAACCTGCTACCTGGAGAGCTGTGCCCTCAATCAGTAGCCCCATTATCTGGCCACTTAGCTCTAAAGGCAGCAGTACAGAAGGACGTATGCTGTGGCATTGCCATCCTTACTTCTGCACTGCTGCTGGCGGGACACTGCCTTCAGAGCTGGGTGCCTGACGAACAGCTGCTGCTCTTCAGCTGCCCAGCTCTGGAGGCAGTATAGAAGGAAGAGTGAAAATACTGCGACCCTCCTAAAATAATCTTGCAACTCCCTTTTGGGAAAGGACATCCAATTTGAGAAACATCAGTCTCCTCTGCGAAATCTGTATGGTATAGATAGAAGCACACAAAACGCCCGATTTCTGAGAGAGACCAGATTTCCCAGTCTGTGATACAGTTTTCATGGTCATGAATTTGGTAGGGACCTAGAGATAAGGAACAAGAGGAGCTCAAAGTATCTGACAGCCTCACTCTGACTCACCTGGCCTGCATCCAGCCCTTTGGCCAGAGGGGTTTGACCTCTGCATCGAGAAAGGTTTTCACATAATCCTCCAGAGACTGAGCCTTGTTCTTCTCTAGCTCATAGCCATCCAGTTTAATCTTCACCACGTGGCAAAGCAGCTCCCTGAGGGACAAGTAGACGTCAGAGCAGGTTACCCACAGTTTCTCCCAGAGTGCACTCAATTCACCAGGGCTGAGCAAATATTTTATCAGGCTCCTGCAATTCTGGGTCAGACCATGGACCATCGAGGGTCCCAGACCCAGAAGTTCCTAAGAGGTGATCCTTCAGAGAAAAGCAACACTTTCACAATAATACAGCTGCCAACTAGATACTTCCCAGCTCCCACAACTTAACCCTGAAGCACAAGTTGTGGTTATCTGCTGCCATAATTTCACCTTTTTTTAAATGGCCAAGAAATAAAACCTGTTTATCTTGATACCAAACCACAGCAGTTTGTTCTAGGAGGTGATTAGATGCTGTGTGAAGTGTATGTTCTAAAGGATTTAATGTTGGACCTTGGGTACGGAACAAAGAGACAAGGAGGGGTTGATCTGTTTTCTCTATGCCCTTTATCATTTTCCCCTTCAACCATGCCATCCTTCCCATATTCTTCTTTGCCAGATTCTAGATTTCCAGCTGCTGCATTCTTACCAGCTCTAGCCATTTCAGTTGTCAGCAATCTGATCACTTTACAGTCTGTAGGACCTCTTGTTCCCAGTGTAGCTCCTCCTTTCCAAGAAAGGCTCCTAACTATTAAATATATTTGACTCCCCATGTAGCCACTATCTTGGCGTCTGCCATCGAAGCCCCTTATTGTCTCCTGTAGAACTAGTGCTATGCCTGGAAGTGGGAGGATTTTAGAATACATGCAGGATCTGAGACTTACAAATGTTTCAGTGGCTCCTTAAAAGATTGCAACACAAGCATCTGAGCAGATTCTGATGCATTCAGTATTTAGGGTCTGACACACTGAAAGCCAGAGATAAAACCAAAGACACTGTGTACTCTTAACTCCAAGCTCAAAGGCCTGGAATGGAACAAAAGGAAAAGATTCAGTCAAGGGCTCCATCTAGCCAAACCTGATTTCATCATTCCACTGAAATTTCTTCCGAGGTCCCATGATCCGCTTCCCTCCCTTCTCTTCATCATCTTCCTCATCAGAGCACACACGGTCTCTCTGCTCCTTATCCTTTTCCTCTTCCAGCATCCTGAGAAGAGAAGGGAAATGGTAAACTGTGGAACCCAAGGCCACAGATGTCCCCAGTTAAATTTTTAGCATGATTCAGGAATGGATTGAATGGATTGGAGATGGACCACAAGAACAACGGAGTTAGAATAGTTAGTGCTAACATAACCTATGGAAAAACTTTAAAAACAACAAATACTAGGATACCATCTACATTGTTTTGTTAGTCTCTAAGGTGTTGCAAGACTATTTGTTGTTTTTTTAAGCTTTTCCAGTTACAGACTAACTCAGCTATCCCCCTGAAACTTTATAACCTATGGAAGAGCTATGGGTATGTCTACACTAGCCCCCTAGTTCGAACTACCTGTTATTCCTCCTGGAATGAGGTTTAACAGGTAGCTTGAACTAGGGCTTTAATTCGAACTACCGGATCCCTGCTGCATGTAGACTTGGGCAGTTAGTCCAGACTTGTAAATTTCAAAAAGGCAACCAGCTGGGAAGATGCAAATCAAGCGCGGGATATTTAATTCCCGGGCTTGATTTGCAACTTTGAATGCCTACATTAGCCTCCCTAGTTTAAACTAGGGGGCTAGTGTAGACATACCCTATTAATCCTCATGCTTCAGATCTTAAGACAATCTTTAACAACTAGAGATTAGGAGGTTTCTTGTGTTTTCTTCTAAAGCATCTGATGCTGCTACAGCACAACCCGCTAATCTCTGGCACTCTGCAGCGATGCTACAGCAAGACCACTGCACACGGGCCAAGGATGTAATTTGAACACCCTTATGTCCTCAGCAATTCGCCATCTAGGCTTAAACCAAATAAAAGGAAAAGGCCACAAGAACTACCTGCAGGTGGAGGGACCCTGCTAAGAGGTGATACAGATGGATAATGAGAAGGAAAAGCTTACTTAGCAAACTTGGCTTGGGTATGCGCTTGACACTCCTCCTGATATTTAATCATCTGTTCTGGCATTGCCCGGCCAATGGCTTCCTTTAGCTTCTGGAGAGGTTCCTTCAGACGGCCACCCTGCAGACAGCATGAAAGGACACCGTGAGGTTTCACACTGAACTTGCCATTCAAACAATCCCATAGCTCAGATATAGCAGTAGTGTTGTAAATGTACCACTAGATGTGGTGGCCATTATATGCTCAGAGGAACACAGTGCCTCATATATTGAAGAATGGCCATGCTCTGAAAAGTAAATTAAAAGATAGTGCGGTGCTTCTAAGCTCACCCACCTGTTCGTAGAGATAAAGCCTGCGGGCACGCTTGACCAGTGTGTCTTTGCTGCAAGGAAGGAAGGAGGCCAGGTGAGCATACACCCCAGATCGGATCTGGCTATTCAGCTCACGGGTCTGCAGCTCTATGCTGAAGAACAGGATAGACAGACCATTGACTGTGACTTTAACATGGCTTCTCAAAGCAACATAAATGTTTCATCACCCATGGAGAAAGAGCTGTGTAACAGGACCACTAAAGCCTGCACATAAAAAGGCTATGGTAATTAGAAGAGGTAATTTTATTTCCAGGTATAAAATCAGGATTTGATTCAATTTTCTAAGCACAGCACATTCAACAGCTTATCTCAAACACAAATCGGAGATGGAAACAACATAACCGGACCTACCTCTAAATTTCCCCCACCCATTCCAAATAGTCTGAATACTCCAACTTAAGGCCAATTATGGAGGACATTGGGGTTAGCCCTGACTTATCTAAGAGAAGCTTATACAGGGCAGCTCCTGACCCATGCCCCTCAACTCCAGAGCCAGGAGTTCTCCTCCCGCTAGATATATCAATGGAGTATGTTCCGTACAACTTTTTCCCTTTCCCCAAAGTTGTGGGTTCCCTTTTCTTTCCCATTAACAACAGCTAAGAGAGGCTGAGCAGTACTTACTCCAATATGATGTTATTAATATCCTGGGTGAAGAACCTCTGTTTGCCTTCTCCTTCTGCAGCTCTGGCAGCCTGGGTTCACAGTAGACAATATGAACTGTTAGCTCACACACAGATACAAAGAGGTACAAGAAATCAAATTGTTTTCAAAGCATCCTCAGGGATAACGTAATAAAACTCTACCAGCAACTTCATCCCAGTGAGACTCTGCATCGGTTACATATCATGGCTCCAAGTGGAAGTAACACCTGCTAAGCGTGTCATGAGCTTTCATGAACCAGCTTGAATTGTGTCCCATTTGTAGCCTCCCTAGTTTAAACTAGTCAATTAATCAACTAATCGAATAGTCGATGGTATTTCCATCAACTACTCGATTAGTTAATAAGTGGGCACTTGCTATCCCGCTGCACCTCTACCTTTTAAATGTAGAAGAGCTACCTGCAGCTCTTGTACATTTCAAAGACAGAGGAGCAGCAGGACTGCCTAGGTCCCCACTCCTGCGAGCTCCCCGCTGTGCTCTTGCACATTTCAAAGGGAGAAGTGCAGCAGTCAGAACGCCTCTGCCTCCCCTGCCCCCCCGGCAGAGACGGTTCTGAGGGGAAACCGATTTTAAGCTGGCTCCCCCCAGCACCGGCTCCTACTCCCCACCTTGATGCCTCTCTCTGATAGAGGCAGCAAGGGAGGGAAGCAATAGCTGAACCACTACTTGACTATCCGATAAGCATCTGCTTATCAGGCAGTTGACTAGTCGCTTACATCCCTCATCAGGAACTGGAAGGACTGCCCCAAATTCCCAGCCAATCAGCTAGCTGGGCTAGGGCTCTTCTAGCTGTAGCTCTGCCATAAACCCTACACCTTGAGATTCACAGTTGGGATGCAATCACCAGCTCCACATGGAGAATGAGTGTTGATCTATTCGACTGGAATATACTCCAAGTAAACCACACCAAGTGAGATGTGCTCTGCTTTCCCCCAAGCTGCCCCGGGCCGCTCTACTTTAAGGTAGGGAGAGCTCTCCCCCACTAGCTCTGACCTACATATATAGCACTGCCTACTCCCACCTCTACAATGAAAGCAAGTGGCTCTCCTGAGAGATGCTCTAGCGTAGATCAGCGTGTGCTGGGCAGCATTCCAAGGAACATCTGAAAAACACACTACTCCAGTGCAGCCCTGCATTTCTGGGCTACCCGCCACTGCCTTCTTCTGAATGGATGCACTAGAAGAGGTCAGTCAATGCATATGGGCCTACCAGCAGGGGAGGATTATAGGAACTGAAGGGAAATGGAACCAACACAGCTCATTACCAAACCCAGCTAAATGCGACTATGCCCACCAGCAATAAAAGCAATGCAAGCAGGTACAAAATGCCATGAAAGGTGCCACTTCCTCTGCTGCATAAGCCCCAAATTTGCTGTTTTTATGTCGTAACTCTGTAACCCTAATGATGACTAGCCACAAAGGAGTCCCTTCTCACAGTCACATCTCAATGAGGTGCAGTGTGATTTCACAAATGTGGGGCTGGAGGAAAGATAAGGTACATGGACTTTTTCTCAAGGCTGTTTCCCTCCCACACACACGTCTGGCAAGTCTGTTCCCCTGTCCCACAAAACCCTTCACTCACTAGCCAATGATAGCTCTCATTTCAATGCACCTGTGAAATTGAGACATGCTCTCTGTCTTTGAAGAGACCAAAGAGATGATTCCTTAGCAACTAGTGCACCTGGTATGTTTCATCAGCAGCCTTTTCCTAGGAACAAGCAGCAGCTCCTTACTCCTCAGCAGAAGACTGCTCTAAGACACGCTATTTCATTTCATGCTGGAGCAGTCAGACTTGCACTTACAGTTTGGGTAGCATATGCACGGTGAGACAAGGACTGCCCCGGCAAGAAGAGGGGTCTCTTATTTCTAATGTGGTTTCTCCTAGTCCATACTAGGCCAGTTTGTAAGCCAGGCAACGGGACTCCCTGACAGAGGACCAGCCAAATGTGCTAGGTCAACACGTACAAAAAGGTCTGTTCCAGACTTGGAATCCTGTACAGGAAATTTCCTGGGTAACCAGAATTACATACAAAAGCCCATGTAAAAAATCAGAGCAATACGAATGTGGGACCCTAGACTATGAAATGTTCCAGCAACAACAATTCAGGAATAAGGCACCATCACACTAACTTGCAGCAACGTAGTAATAACTCTGTATCAAGGGAGCACTGTATTACTCACACTAGCTAAGATGCACTCCAGGGAGGACTGTTTCAGCTGTTCTCCATCAACAGCAAGAACTACAAATGGCAACCGCCATAAACAGTTCCATGTCAGTTTATCAGGCACATGTTGCTGTGGCAACACCTGGCTGAACCTTCTGTCCTGTGATGCCTCAGTGCTGACAGCTCACCACCACTGTAAAGAGTTCAGGATTCTAAGTGGGATGTGCTAATGGCGAGGAACAGCCTCAACAGACATGTACCGTATTTTCCAGCGTATAAGGCGACTGGGCGTATAAGACGACCCCCTAATTTTCTAGTTAAAACATAGGTTTTCGCCTATACTTGCCGTATAAGACTACCCCCCCTTAAGAGGCCAACCGGCAGCGCCCCAGCTGCTTTGCCCCAGGGTCCACAACAAAAGCCTGGTCTGCTGGGGGGGGGGCACACTAGCTGCGCCCCCCCC